TGGGGTCAAACTCATGTTCCCACCACGCAGTCAGGCTGCCAAAAATCGGAAAGTGGAGCAGAAGTGATTGTGTCCTTGTTCTTGCTCTGGCTTTCTCACCCATTCTGTGCATACCTCCTCAGCTCCTGTTTCGAGCTTAGCACTGTGGAGATCCCTCAGTGTAGACACTGTAAGCTGAGGGCCTGCAGCTCAGGTCTGGTTTTATTTGACCACAATTAACTTGAAATGTCTTTTTAATTGTGGTAAAATACACATAACAGAAAACTGACCACCTTAACCATTTTTACGTGCACAGCTCAGTGGCGTTCAGTCCATTCACATTGCTGTGCAGCCATTGCCACCATCCATCTCCAGAACTTTTCCATCTTCCCCAACTGAAGCTCTGTCCCCATTAAACACTAACTCCCCTTCCCCCACTCCCGCCCCCATCCAGGCCCTGGAAACCACTGTTCTACTTTCTGTCTCTATGAATCTGACTACTCTGGGGACCTCATATCAGTGGGATCATACAGTATCTGTCCTTTTGTGACTTAGCATATTGTGTCTTATCTCACACAATAAGTGTGGCTTATTTCACTTAGCATAACGTCCTTGAGGTTCATCCATGTTGTAGCACGTGTCAGAATTTTCTGAGCCAGCCCTGTCTATTGGTTGAGATTCGGTGCTTTCACCACCATGGCCTGGGTTCATTTCCCGGTTGTGGAAACACACCACCCATCTGTCAGTTGTCATACTGTGGTGGCAGCTCACATGGAGAACTAAACTAACAACTAGGATACACAGCCATGCACTGAAGCTTAAAAAAAAAAAAAAAAAGAATTTTCTTCCTTTTTAAGGCTGAATAATATTCCATTGTATGTATAGACTACATTTTGTTTATTCATTCATCTGTCGATGGACACTTGGGTTGCTTCCACCTTTTGCCTATTGGGAATCATGCTGCTACGAATACAGATGCACAAACATTTCTTTGAATCCCTGTTTTCAATTCTTTTTGGTCTATATCCAGAAGTAGACTTGCTGGATCATATGGTCATTCTATTTTTAAATTTTTGAGGAACCATTATACCATGTTCCATAGCGGAATTTGAAATTTTTAAGAATTAGTTTCCAATATTAAAAAAATCTGGGTTTCAGCCTTCTCTTGAGAAATTGGAGGTCTGACATCACTGGTCCTGTACTCTTAGAAAGCATTATCAGGCCCCCCTCAGAGACACCAGCCCCACCAGGCAGTGCCCCCTCCTCAGAGAGCTGGGTCTCAGCTCTGTAGGGCTCTCTCCCAAGCTTCTTGGTTCTCACCTCTTTCCTTTGTTCCCCAGCCCTACGTGCTAACTGCTTCCCTCACTTTGGCTCTGTGATGCCTTGCCTTTCAGTCTCCTGTACGTGTTTAACACAACCCCTATATTAGATCTCTCTGTTAAAAGACCTGGTGTAGTTCCATTTTCCTGGCTGGTACCACTCAGCTGGTGTTCCTGCCTGGCAACGCTGGACAGCAGCTGCCCACTTTGGTCAGGTATCGGCTCTCCTGGTCCCCTCTCCCTGCTCCCCATTTTTCTACATCAGGCTGACTTTGTCTGCCTGACCATTTGGCATCTGATGTGTGCCCTTGCTCTAATCAAGTACCTCCCAATTACTGAGCATCTACTATGTGCCAGATACTGTGTATAAGACTTGGTGCAATTATCTCACGTAATCCTTGCCACAACCCTGTGAGGCGGGCACTGCTCTGATCCCCATTGTACAGATAAGGAAACTGAAGCCAGGACGGAGAAGGCTAACCACACCGTCCTCAGACCCGCAAGTTCACATTTCTATCATGAAAGCTTGTATTCTATTTATACGTTTGATAAATATCTGATCTGTGCATTCCAGGCTCCCTTTTGAAGAAAGTAAGTTATGCATAAGCACTTGACATCAAAACCTCAGAAACTGACTTTCCATGTCTTAGTGTTCTCGTCTGTGAAATGGGGATCATGATAGACACTACCTCACAGGGTTTCGATGAGGATTAAATGACATGATGTGTACACAGTGCTTAGCTCCACAGCCAGCACGTAAGAAGTACTGAACAAACGATAGCTTTTGATAGTATCACCTAAACACAGAGGGGTTATTATGTAAAGCATGATACACACAGTGGCTGGAAATGATGCTTATGGACAGTAGGTAGTCATGAAAAAATGCTTATTATATGTGAAAGAAAAAAGATCCCAAATAAAAATAAATGAAGTCATGCAGTAAAAAGACTCACAGAGGGCCGGCCCCGTGGCTTAGCGGTTAAGTGCGTGCGCTCCGCTGCCGGCGGCCCGGGTTCGGATCCCGGGTGCGCACCGAGGCACCACTCCTCCAGCCATGCTGAGGCCGCGTCCCACATACAGCAACTAGAAGGATGTGCAGCTATGACAGACAACTAT